GTGTTAATTCACATTCTATTAAAAGACTCAGAACTATTTCTGTTTCCTGCAATGAGCTCAAACCATTAAAGCAAGCCTCAACATGAGACCTTGGTTAATTTATCTCTTTGGTGAGACTAATGAAATGATTAAATGCATGGACCCAGAACAAATTATTCCTTCAGTTTCCTATTATTTTTGTTTAAAACACAGGTAGGGAAATGAAAACCTGTAGATAAATTATCCCTTAGTATCTAATTCAAATAGTGTCAAATAAGAAGTGAAATATGTCATGAAAATATCCAATTAAATACTCCTCGTAGTTCAAGCATCACACCAGGTTGCACTGATGTAAGAATGAACCACACATACTCATTACCCACTTGGACCTCACTTTTTATCAGGGGAGATAGAGACAGGCAGGCAATTTCACTAAATGTCACAGGGGTGCAGTCATAACAGGCACAGGGTATGATGAAAGCAAAGGCAAGTGGCATTAGTGCCACTTGGGAAATGAGGTTTCATGGAACACTCAGTGGTGGAGATGTCCATTCAGAATTATGAGCGACAGAACTAGTTTGTGAATAAGAAGTTCATGGCCGGCCAACAATTTTTTTCCATATTCCTCCAAATTGTGCAGCTTTTGTCTCCATATATGAAGTTGGTATGCCATTTGCTGCATTGATTCGTATCTCTTCCATCTGGTCATGAATACCATATAGTTCTGGTAAGTCTAGAAGACATGTCTGGGGAGTGCTTGAGGGGCATGCCTTCTTCTCAGTAATGAAGAACAATGAACAAATGCTGAGCCCATTACTTCCTTTTGCTTCTATATTCTGTTGTTCAAGAGCCAGATACTTGAGACAGCAGGGGAGACAAAATTTACCAGGAGGGGGAAGACCTGAGGACCTTAAAACCACCAGCCAACAATGTGGACATGATTTGGAGCTGTGAACTGACACAGAAATGTGGTACAATTCCAGCATGCAAGATACTAATATGCATCATTACTAATGCCATTTCAAATAAGGCAAATTAATCTTCATGAACTCTAATGAAACTACTTGATAATTTAGCCTTTAGAAGAATTCAGGGAATTAGACGTGTGTAATGGCCTGGTAACCTCCATGCAATAGATATAAGATAAGGAAGATTTTCATAGGAGACAGTCAGAAAACCACTGGAAATTGAGCACAAACAGAAGTGAAGATTGAGAACAATGGATTCCCAAAAGACTCCTATATCTGAAAATACCACATAAAACTTTCCAAGATGCACGAAAGGCAACTACCTAAACTGGAGGCATCTCTTGAATGGCTTCCTCACCACTTGGAAATTTTGTAATCTCTGTTTAGGATGGCTTGGGGATCTAACTGGCAAAATCCTTGAAATCACTGAGGCAGGAAATGGGATTATGAAGTTCTACATTTCAGGTAGAGTTCAGAGAGTAATTCACTAAGAACAATAAACTGTAAGGATACCAACTAAAATGCCAGACAATATTCATACGTGGACACGTGATATCTGCCTATTCTGAACTGATATAAAGGAAATAAACAAGAAACTGCAGGCATTAAATATATTATGAAAAGTTCAAATTATGTCCCAAATAATTAATTACTATTAACCTGTGCTTCTCTCTCTCTCCTCTCTCTCTCTCTCTCTCTCTCTCTCTCTCTCTCTCTCTCTCTCTCTCTCTCTCTCTCTCTGTGTGTGTGTGTGTGTGTGTGTGTGTGTGTGTGTGTGTGTATAGACCAGAAGTTGACTAGGTATCTTCTTTAGTGAAACAATACCTTATTTTTTGAGAGAGGTTTGTTCATTGAACACAATGATCACACATTGGTTGTTGTGGCAGTTTGAATAAGAAATGCCCTCCATAGGCTCAAGGATTTAAACACTTAGTCCCCAGTTTGTGGCACTGTTAGGGAAGGCTGTGGAACCTTTGGAATGTGGAGCCTTGCTGAGGAAAACATGCCACTCTAAGAAGTATTTGATCATTCATAACCTTGCCCCATTTCTAGTTTTCCCCTCTGATTTATAAGTTTTATTTGTAATTTATGAACTTATAAGCTAGCTATTGAAAATGTGATCTCTCAGCTTCTCAATCCAGCATTGATCCTTCTGGCCATGCCACTATGGGCTGGTAGAAAATTTGAAGTTATTTATTGACCAAAGGACTTCAGAAAATGCTGTGTGGTGTGAAGCTGGTTCAAAAATCTATGAAAGATGTGGTAATGAAACAACAGAGAAAGGGAAAATGAATAAGGAGAACTGAAATGGATGTCTAAGTCAGATGAATTAAGTAAATAAAAGGCATTAAAAAAAAAACAAACAGAACCCGAGAACTATAGTCAATGGGTGCCTACTTTCTATTGAATATCCACTGCTGTATAAGCCCCAAACGGAGTGACTTACAGAATACAAACCCTATAGTTCTCCTCATATATAATGGGAGAGGTCTGAGATCTGCTTTCTATGTAGTGTTTGCAGGACACTGAATCATTAATCTTGTGGTTTCATTAACTCCAGGGCTTCTGAAATTTCTGTATTTTTACTAAATTAGTAAAGAGAGATAGATGATGGAGGATTGTGAAAGTTGTTGCTACTCTTGGTAACTTGATGAAGCAGCCATGGATGCAGAGCATGCCACTCCCACGAACTAACAGAAAAGGGTTCCTATACAACACTGTAAGGGAAGTGGGTGTTGACAACAAGTCGATGAACTAAGGAAGGAATAAATGTGAAGCCGGTGAACGGTGAACCTTTCTCTTAATACACTGAATGGGAGACAGGCAAAGTCACTTTTGTGGGCAGAAAGACAATGCCTTCGGGTATGGCAGAAGATCAATGTCTGTCGGAATTATGTAAGTGGTTTTTCCAGGATGCTTTTGCTGGTATGGAATTAAATCTCAGAGGAGAGGTCCTGTCGTACATGGAGTTGTAGACACAGTTAGATTTCTGCTATATGCAGATCATTCCAGAACCAAATGTCTCATGTTGTCTCATGTTAATATTTCACCAGGGATGTCCAACCCTCAGCGTGCAGATCACGTATGTTCTAAGATATCTCTGGATACAGCTCAGTGTTATATATCACGGTGTCAAAATTCGCACACCTTGCCTAGACTTCTTAATAATGTAACTCACACTCCCTGATTTTCTTTTCCTTCCTCGCTCATTGTTGTTTAAAACTGAGCTTCCAGCGGTGTTCCCTATGATCTCCACCAAATGTTCCCTTGCTATAATAGACATGAATCCAAGGTCACTGGCGGAGCTGTAAGACGGTGAGGGTAATGGGTGAGGCTTTCGTTTCAAACACTCTTTCCCTTCCTAGTATCTTCTGTTATTCTTCTTTAATCTCCTCCCCCATTTTTGTCTTCTGTTTCTATTTTATTCTTAACTGTGTCAGAGTCTCACATTGGTGTACCATATTTTAAGCACTTAAGTCTTTCAAAATAACTGAAATAAAAATTTTCCAGCTTATTTTTATCTAAAATTAGTGCATATCTAATAGAGTTTTATAATCTCCATCTCAGTAGTTTATTTCCAACAGAACTGAAAAATTTATATATGAAGGCAGACAAAATGAACAACATATTATGAAAATTAAGAGGTAGGAAGTTGATACATTGCTCTGTCTTTCTTACATTAAAATAGAAATAGTTTTTCATTGAAATTCCTGCTCGGTATATGTATTTATCATAAAAACCCAGAGGGAGATTTGATGGTTACATTTATATCCCTAAGCACAGGTAGGCTTTTTTTTATTATTTATTTTTTCTTCTCATTTCCTCCCTAGTCTATTGACAACAGAATTTCAGGACAAGCTTCTTTATAGTCATGACTTTTCCTTAACAGCCATGATCGCCTTAAGAAAAAAGTTGTGTGCATATAACAAATCGGCTTTCATACTGGGTCTGTGACAGTTCAGACAGGGGACAGGAAGGGGACTTGCATGGAGCTTGGAAAAGATTTTGATGAATTTCTCACTTTGTGAAATTAGAACCAAATCAGAGAAGTTGAGGAAGAAATGAGGCAATATAAGTGGACAACACATTCAGCACAAATGTCCAAACCACATTTAGATTACTGAAAAATCGCCATTCCTTTTCTCCCCTTGCAGTGCTTTCTAAGGGATGAGCCAAAAGACTACCATGATGGCAGTGTGCTTGTAATTCTGTGAATCTACAGCACAGTTCATAGCATGGTTTGTGTGTGTGTGTGTGTGTGTGTGTGTGTGTGTGTGTGTGTGTAGTAAAATGTGTTCAAACTGATCTTGCTGAATAGAATCCTTTAAAGAAAGCCCACATAATTTATTTCATATTGAGAGATTCAATTTTCCCCAGTTCTAAGAATAAAATGTATTCCAGTTTAGGTTCAGACAACCCTGCAGTTTTCTCTAGTGATTAATTTTGTCACAGTACTCAACTTGCCTAGTGTAAAGTCTTGGAACTCTTTCCTTTTGGCTATCTGGGCAGGTAAGAGAGGAAACAGCTGGAATCCCTTCTTTTCCTGTCCCATCTTTCAGTTCTCAGTTTGCTATTGCCTCAGTGGTCAACTGTCAATGTTTCCTTATTGCCTCTTGATCCCTGAATGATTAAGATCTGGAATTGCCCATTATGGCCCTCCGTGATTCAACTCAATCCAGCAATTCTCCATGGTCCCTTCAACTAAAAAATAACTGCTTCAATAAGACCAGTCTCATTACCCCACAATCCATTACACACCTACTTTGTTCTTTGAATTTGTTCACATGACTGAGTGCAGTGATGAGTCTCTAATTTATCTTCCTTTTCCTAATTATTTCAGAGTCTAAGCCCCCACATAACAGCTCTAACAATGTCACTCTGTTAAAAACACTAATGAATTTTATGTCTTCATATCTGTCTTCCAATTTCCAAGACTGTTTATAAAATTACACATTACAACTAATTATTTTATGTGTGAAATTATTGTTGTTAGTGGCAATATATGTCTAAATTATGTCTATACAATATATTTAATATTAAAATATAATTCACATCCTTACCTGTCAGGGGCAATACAATCATCATGAAGGCAGTTTTCCCAGGGCGAGGCTTATCCATTGCACTCCTGATGGACTGACTTCAGCGATTTCCCCAAATGTAGGAAACTCAACTGCATAATTTGTGGTAGTGGGGGACTTGTGTTCATGATCTCTCCTGAAAAAAAATTAATTTATATACAATTAATCCTGCCTATAGTTATATAGATATTTATAAACTTCTAAGTTAATGTATTTCTTTTCATATGTTATGACAATATTGGGACATGAAGAATCACGGCCATGGGGGACAGTGTAGGAGGTAGAGATACAGAGCTCAGCACCAAGTAGAGGGTCAGTAGGCAGTTCAGCTAATACACATGGTTAGCCTCCCCCAGTGGTCAGTTCAGCTAATACACATGGTTAGCCTCCCCCAGTAGGCAGTTCAGCTAATACACATGGTTAGCCTCCCCCAGTAGTCTGCTATCAGAGTCCTTGCATACTTGAAATATCATTAATGAATGCCCTTGACTTCTCTTCCAGGATAAGCTCACAATTCTGAAGTGTAACACAGAACAGGCTCCTGGCAACAGCTCTTAGAAGTGTACTCCAAGTGTTTGGGGGAAGCTGATGATAATTTAGCATTGAAATCTTCTGTTTCTTTAAGTCCCTGATTTCTATGCTTGATCAGGCACTTGTGAGAAGACATTGCTAATTTTGTAATCATTTCACAAGAGCAAGTGAATAGCTCTTAGTGGATTCTCGTAATCTTTTATGTACCTCTGTATCGTTTTCTATTCATGCTAAGGAAAGCAAACAGATGAAAGAATAATCTGCATCCAGGATTTACGGCATGCATATTATGAAAACCTCGGTCTTTACTGCAGCTTTTAATGCAAGGTGCTAACATGGAGCTTAGATATGTTAAGATCTTGCTTGACGGTCCAGAGCTCCCTAAAGGCACTGCTCTTACACCTTTCCGGGCCACTTCCTAGAAACATCCTGAGTACACCACACTCTCCACTCATCCTTCCTCCGACCCAAATCCCTGTCCTCTTGTGGAAGTCACTGTGCCATCTCTTTTAGGAAAGTCTAAAGTCACAAGCACATCGACTTGCTCTCCTGACTTCCAAATGAAGTCATTACTTCATTTAATCTTGCAGAGTTCCATATACATAGAATCTTCTGTAATCTTATCTCATTCCTCATCCTACTAAATCTCTTTGTCACAAGTCCCCCACCTACTTTTATGTCTTCCAACACGTGTGTGACCTACTATACTAATTAGGGTTACCAGCATGTGCTGGTAATTTCTTGAGGGGGGTAATGTACTATTGTATATATCACTAAGAACTTTGAGTGTCGTTCCCCCTGCGTTCTTAAACTGTTTTTAGCTGCTCTGCGAGCCGTAGGCCTTATGGAGAGTGGGTACAAGTACAGATGGTGGCTGTGTTTCAAAGGAGACTCGCCAAAGCCACTGAGAAGCTGAGAGATCAAATCATCAAAAGAGAAAAGTTCCAGGGTCTCTGCAGAATGTAAAAACTATGAGCACTCCAAAACGGACATGAGGAAGACTGGGAATGTTGTGGCTTTGTAGAATTAAATGGGCTTTTCTAAACAAAAGACATGCTGTTACCTGATCAGAATGAGCTCAGATGGACAGTGAGAGATTCTTCTCCTCATTGCTTTATTGTGTCCAAGTTATTCTCACATACACCTTAAAACACAGGTGAAGGGGCCCGAAATGAGCCTCTTACTTACAATTTTTTTTTTAATCCCAGGAGGTGAAAGAACCTGTCACAATAAAGCAGAAACTCAAAGGAAGGTTCATCCCATGAACACCGAAAGTTTCTAATTTCATTACCATATTACAAACTACCCCATCATTCTGAATGCTTAAAGTGGAATGTGTGTGTGTGTGTGTGTGTGTGTGTGTGTGTGTGTGTGTGTGTGTACACATGCGTGTGCATGCATGTCTGTCTGTCTGTGTCTGTAAGTAGTGATAAGTATCTTGCCGGGATAGTTTCTTCAGTGTTTTTCCAAACACTGTGAAAGTAATTTGGCTATTTCTTCTGTTTTGCAGATGGAAAATAAAAGCTAAGAAAACAATCAGATAATTCTCCCCAAATCACAATCTTGAATGGAGTTAAGAAATATACTAATATCAAAGGCTGGGTGTTAGTTAATATATTTAATGACGAATGATAACACTGAGCTATTCTGAACATTAAATCTGAAGTTCTATCTTGAGTAATATATAATCACATGTACATGCACACATATTTACCTTTTTAGGTTTATGCATTTTTAAATCAAGTCTGTACACATAAATATGGTTAGTACCCATCTGTTGCTCCATTGTTCATGCTTAGGAGGTGCATTTTCCTAAGTACATATTTCTAGTGTGTTTTGAAGAAAAGCTCAAATTGGTTCTTTGTTTGTAATTAATATTTACTTAGCAGGTAAATCACCTGGTTGAAATAGGCAAAAACATGGATGCCTCTTATTTTAAATTCAGACTCTGTTTGAAATGTTAGTAATATCTCAAATACTCTTAATTTCCTGGTAGAGACTTTGTTTGCATAATTCAGATTAAAACTTGGACTTTTGAGAAGGATGCCAGCATTCAACCTAAATAATCATTTGGATACTATAATGCCCCTGCTTTGCCTTTCTTTGTTTAGGGGGTCTGTATTATTCATGTGAAATCCCTGTTCAAGGATTTATCTAAATTGGCCGTGTTACAGTGAATGACAGCAGGGGGATTTGTTCAAAATTAGCTCATGTCTTCTGAGGCAGAGCAAATTATTCACAGTTCCTCTGAGACTACCTACTACAGTCTTCACCAGCATGGCAGAGAGGCTGTTCATAACCAGAGAAATGAACAAAATGGCCTGGTTGCAATAACTCATCCACCACTATTCCACCCCAAATCTCAACACAGGATTAGCCACGGCATGAGATGGTGCAATCTGAACACAGGGTCAGCCACAGCCTGAGATGATGCAATGCCTTTGCACTATTATAATGATCTTAGACTCTTGCAGCTTGTATGGAGACTCTACTTATCCCTCTTGAAGATCCACAATCCTTTTGGGTGCACCTATTGTTTTAAACAATTCTCACACTGTCTCCTTGTCATGTGTCCACCTGAACTGAGCATCACCGGGTTTTGTCTCCTTCAGTGAAAGGTCTTTTAAATTTTACTAGGCATGTTACATGGGAGAACTCCCTGTCACTTCTATAGAGCAAGGATTTCAGAGTAATTTATGAGAACTGAAGAGAAGTAGGTACGTTTATAATCGTAAAAGTTTGTGGCATTTCAGGGTTAATATTCTAAAAGAAGTGAGCAGACAATTGCACAACATTGTCACTGAAACAGGTCTGAAATGATTTCTGCTTTGTGTGTGTGTGTGTTGCATATGTGGCACACGTATGTTGACATGTGCATGCGAAAGTATTCAAATGTGTATTTGCACGTACACGCACATGTGTCCAAGTGTTGGATGTTTTCCTCAGTCACCCATCATATCATTTTTTTTTGTTTCTTTTGGCTAATTTCAGAATTCCATAAAGGTGATAATGTCTTTTTACCAAATCCCCTACTCCCTCCACTGAGCTCCTTCCATAACCTCCCCACTACTTTCCCTCCCACGTCACCTACTCCTTTTTAAACCCACAGACCCCGCTTACGGCTGCCCAAAAGTGCAAAGTACTATACATTGGAGTGTGAGCACCCTATCTCAGATGACATCACTGAAGAAAAAGAACCCATAGTTCTTAAGTAACAGCGGGGCTTTTTGAGGCCCTCCGTCCCTGTGGGGTTTTGGCTGGCTTGATTTTGTGTATTCCTTGTGCATGCAGTCACAGCTCTTATGGGTTGAATTGTGCAATGGCCTGCCGTGTCTTGAAGACACTTTCACTGCAGCCTTCAATTACCTCTTGCTTTTATAATCGTTCTTTCCCCCTTTCCACAGTGATACCGGGGCTTTGTTACTGTGGGAATGTGATATAAATGACCCATTTAGGATTGGACAGTGCCTTGTTTCTTACTCTCTGCTCATTGACAATTTGGTGGCCATTGAATTAGTTAGCAACCACTTTAATAGAAACTTCTCTGATAAGGGTTGAGAGTTTCATTGATGTATAGGTAAGTAAGTGTGTGTCTCTTACTGTATGTAGCTAGAACTCATTTACTCAGGTATGCAAACTGGCTCATAATATGCAGGCATCTGCTAGTCTCTACTTCCAAGTGTTATGGCTACATGTGTATCACTAGACTTTCTTTAACATGGAGAATGGGGATCTGTGCTTAGGTACTCACACTTGTGTAGCAGTGTCCTGGTTAACTGAGCTACCCACCAGAGCTTTGCTATGATCGCTGAAACCAACACAGGGTAAAATGTTATATATGCAAGTTCTCTCCTTTGAAATCCATGATTATGCATAAATTGAGATATGCTTAGTGGTGCGTCAGTAAATGAAATGTTTCAACTCAAAAAGAAAGCATATTGGAGTTGGGGGATATAGTAAGGTAGTTTTTGAAAAAGTCTGGCAAAGTGACTTCCATTGCTACTTCATAGTTTTTCCCTTTACAACAGTAATTTATGAGATTCTGTAAGATGCGAATACTTGGACAACATGGACTTCTTGTAGCTATTCATGAGCATTGATGGGAGAATCCCAGTGAATTAGCTGTCCTTGAGTCACTCCTGATTCTGTAAATAACTCCAACAAGTGTGGTGGTGCACTAAGCAGGACTTTCATGAAATCTTTCCATTTACCTGTTGTGGAAGAACAAACGAACAAACATTTCTTTTTCTTTACCCCGCATCCCCCCAGTACACCAATCTGACTAAGGCTGCAGCACATCCTGATCACCTGTTTGCAAGTTTGTTTGCTTTCTGGGTATTTTTCTTGGTTCATGACTTTTGCTGAAGTTTAACTTTTATCTTCCTATGTTTACATCATCCATTTTCCATTTTGAATACAAATCCTTTATCAAATATATATTGTTAAGGATCTTCTTGCCAGGTTGACTTGTCATTTCATCCTCTTAGCAGTATTTCTTATAGGTTAGAACTTTTAAAATCTTGACAATACCCCCCCCTGCTATTTTGCATGTTTTTCTGCATCATGTTTTCTATTGTTATACCCTAAAATCCCATTTTCAAACTCA